CCTTGTTGTAATTAATTAGGTTGTTAATTAAGGCGGGAGGCTGCCCACTGTACACCCCAGTATTGGGGGGCGCTATCCGCGGTTCCGCTCCACCCCTACACCACGGCCCAAGCCTTGCAGATGGCATCTCAGGCAGTTGGCTCAACCGTCCCCTTCACCCATTAGCTGTGACGCCAACCATGGGACCTTCGGCTTCCATGTAATCCCTGGCCCAGTCTCAGGCCAGTAGGGACCCCGAGCTTCTTTGCTCATCATGGACATCCTTTGTGGTGGGCCCCTGGCCCTTTTGACCCTTCTGGTCCTGGCCCCAGCATTAACCAGTTGAGTCCCTTGGTTGGGTTTACACCTCCTGCCTGCACTTAGGGATCAGGGTCCCCCATTCCTGGCTCAGGTGCTTCTGGACGTGTGCCTGGCCGTGAGGGGTCACATCCCCAGCAGGCTCAGGTGCCTCCAGAAGCTTACCTGGCTACCCTGCTCTGTTGGTATATGACCCACCCGAAGGAGAGGGCTGAGGTTAAGGCACCCCTTCTTGCCTTTCACTGGGGTGGTAACTGGCCTGGGCTGCCAGCAGCGAACTGCCCAATTTATATCGGCAGCCATGGATCTAAAATAGCTGCCACAGTTAAGCACCTGCTGGCCACTTAGTTTGGCCCTTAAAGTGTCAGGCACCGACAGTGCCCTGCCACAGAGTGTAAAACATCTTCAAGTACCTTCTGGGTAGGCGTTCTCTACTATCTCTCTCACATCAAAACCTCTGTATGCTTTTGTAACCTTCAGGCTGGATTACTGCAGTGTGTGCTACAGTACTTGTGTTTATGGCTGTACCTCTTTTTTTTTTTGCACAACAAATAAAAGCCACAGTAGCTAACCCTTAAAATCACACAGAAGATTGCCCCATTGACCTATTTACAACAGGTCTTGTTCAGCTGTACAGGCTTCCTCGCCACTGCTCAGAGTAATTCAAGATGTTGATTTTAACGTATAACATCTTATAAAACTTGCTGCCCTGGCAACATTTTTCTCTATCTTCTCCATTTGCTGTCATCATAATAAGTATTAGTCAGAACAGGCAAGTAAACAGACCACCACCAGAGAGAAACCCTGGCCTTAGTAAAAGCACTGCAATTTTCTTCAGTGGAGCCACATCCTCAAGATATTGGGGCCTGGGCCTTCTCTGTGGAGTACTGCCAACCAGGGAATTCTTGTCTCCAGATGATCTATCTGAAAAAACCTGAATTTGCTGCATATTATGGTGCTACACTTTTGTTCAACGTTCATCTCTGTTAGAGATCAGTGTAGTAGGAACAGTTTTACTGTGTGGCATTTTGCTTTAAAAAGCTACTTGTATTAGAAGGAGTACCCAGGCTATGTAACTTTCTGTCATCTGGTACATTCAATAATCTAACCTCAAATATTAACTGTAGCACTTGGCTTTGTGGCTAACCATAGTCCACATCCAAGGCAGAAAACTTGTTGTGTAAACTAATCTGACAACAACAGACTGTACTTTGAAATTTTTCTGGTTTTTGCAGTTTGTAACCTATTCTCCCTCATCCAAAGCAAAGTTTCAAAAGGTTAGGCAATGGGCTTTCTCCTAATTTCAGAAAAACATGTCAGTTATGGGGAAAAGGGAATTCTAATATAATAAAGTAATTTTTTCTTTAACTTTACTGTGTTTTTCTAGCAGTTCTTTGTATTAAGTCAGAGCAATCACAAGTGAGATTCTGTTGAAGATTTCCCAAAAATAAAAAAGCTTTGCAACTGGCGAGTGTGAATTTTTCCACAGAGTCTCTCAAAAGTTTGAAAATTCTCCATTAATTAAAATTTTGTATTCAAACAAAGCAGACCTGAAATATTTATATCATTTTCTAAAAACATATTATGATTCTAATCCCACATTACAAGGGGCCGAACTAATTAAACAACTGAAGGTTACAGCTATATTTTTCACTGTCAACAGTTTCCTGAAAAGCAACGTTTTAAAATACAAGAAATCAAGCAACTTTGAAGGCTCTGTAATTTGGCTGGAAACCATCTGCAGAGAGTTAGGATGCAGCTATTAATCTTGATATTATTAGCAGTTGCAAAACAGGTCTGTGGCTAAGGCTGACTTATTGGTAAAAGATGTTTTTGCTTAATTCCTTCTGCATAGTGCCCACTGACAAATTTAATTTGAAGACAAATACTGGCCACAGGCCCAGCTGCTGGTAAAAAAACTGAATAACTCTGGTATGGATATTCTTTTGTCTTAAAAAAATGATCTTCTCCATTTGTATATCAGATGGCTCTTACAGGCAGCCTGATGGTGAAACACAGGATGTTTTTGAAGAAGCAGATGCAAAAAAGAAGGGAAAATACGTGAGAAAATGCTATACCATTTCTACATTAGAAAGATTTTGCTGGTAAAGCTACATCATCAAATGCACTTAGGAAAGATAGAGCTTCCATGGTCAAAAGCATTCTTTTCCCAAGTTAAAGGAAATGTACTGACAAAACAAACTTTTTTTGCTGGTAAAATGGAATGCATGCCAGTGCCTTTCTGGCACCACTATGTCAGGGAAGGTTGTGACTGAACCTTATTTGTGATGTGAAGGCAGCCCTTAAATATTAGGAATAAGCTTCTAAAACTCTGAAAGAACACTGTAGTCCTAGGCAGCACTACTACTGAACAGGATCTGAAGGCTACCATGGATAAGAAACTGCACAAGCCAAAAAACAGGAAATTTCATTCTGAAACATATTTACAGAAATGTCATACATGAGATATGTAAGTTAATTATTCTGCTTTCCCTGATGTTATTTAGGTCTTAGCTAGAGTATGGCACGGATTTTGGGCATGCCACTTTAAGAAAGATGTAGATAAAAGAGAGCGTCCCCAAGGAGCACAAAAAAAATGATAAGGATTTAGCCAACATGACCTATTGAAGGAATCAAATTTGTATACTCTAGAAAAGACAGAAAGATGCAGTAACAGAGTCTTTAAATATGTTGAAGGTTATATAACCTGTTGGGATCTTGTTGAATTCTTTACAAAATAAAAATTGCTGTTATTTTTCCACAGTCAAAAAAACAAGGGAAAACTAAGAGCTGGCATTTTCTGAGGAGTACCTTGAATCTAACAAGCCTTGAATCTTAAGTCTAACCCTGAGTTTAGAGACCACTACTCTAGAATCTAGAGCTTGGTCAGTAGAAACCAGTCAATGACACAGTAGTGTTGGAATGATGGCATGGCTGTGATGATCAAGGAAATATGAGAGGGGCAAGAATTTTAGGGTGATATCTTTTATTGCACCAACTGTGTAGTTGGCAGATATCTTAGACAAGCTTTCAGGCAAAAGATACCCTTCCTCAGGTCTGGGGAAGATGCGGACTGCTTCAGCTAAGTAGCAAACAGAACAACAGCCTGTGTGGAACTCCATATGTAAATAAAAACAGGCTGCAAAATTATTTTTTTAACTAAAAAATAAGTAATTTTTTTTAAAAAAGGAATGGAAGTGGCATGCAAAATAAAAGCAGACAGACATTATCAGGAGTAGCTAAAAGACAAGAGAAGTGCAGTAGCAAGGATAACCTGACTAGTAGAAAAGCAAGACCATTCAAGATGGAAGAAAGCCATTTTCCCTTTTGGAGCAGTGCAAGATTAGCAGAGAACGTACATAAAGTGTAAGAAGCCATAAGGTCAATGTCATTGATTAATCCCTCATATTTAGTGTCCAATAAGACTATACATTTTTGTTTCCAGGCCTGTCTTCTGAAGGTGTTCTGTAGATTACCCTGGAAGATTGTGAAATAAGAAATGGAGTAGATCTTCTGTGAAAAGTGTTCTCCTACCCACATTCATGTCTCTGTCATTTAGCTGGTCTCTGTGGCCACAGAGGACAGGATAAGAAATACTCATAAAATGACAAAAAGGTTGTAAATTTAGGTTGGATATTAGGAAGAACTTTCTACTTATGATGGTGCTTAAACACTAGAACAGATACCTAAAGAGGTCATGGAATCCACATTCTTGCATGTTTTTAAGAAGAGGTTAGAAAAACACATGAGTGGCTGGAATGGTTTAGAGAGGAATGATCCTTCCTTAAGCAGGGGGTTGGACTTGGTGATCTATTAAGATCCTTTCCAGCCCTATATTTCTAGGACTCTTATAAAGTCATAGGGGAAAAAGAAATGCATTTTAAAATATAAAACTATAGAAAATATCTGCAAACACAGAATGTAATGGCTCATTCCCTGTGTGGCATTTCTCACAAGGAACACAAATACTTACATCTTTTATTGATTGAATTCAGTAACTTAAGCTGAACCTGGAAATCAGTTGGCAGTAGTGCTGACTACAAAGAACAGATGTAATAAGTCACTTAAGAGATCAACTCTCTCTGTGTGATTTTATGACAGCTGAGATCAGTGCAAGACTAAAACAAATGATTCCCCTCTTTTAAATAGCAATGGGTTGGCAGTGTAGCTTTTCAAGTGAAGGGTTCTTAAATCCAGAGTATTCTTCCACCTTTGTTCCACCAAAATCCAAATGTTTTGACCTTCAGTTAATTCTGCAAGGCCTGCCTGTCCTCACAGCTTCTTTTGTTATATTGTAGAGGGAAAATTAACATTTGGGAATAATGGTGAAAATTTCTTCATTTGGGGATCCAGAAGGAGTTTTAATTTTTTATGGGCATTCACCCAATTTAAGCCCTACACCAACAGAATTACATTACACATGGAGGTTTCAGGTGGTATACTAAGTATTTCACAAACTATTTTAATGTAATTATTAGCTGTAACTTCATAATGCTGTGTAAATAACCATATCAAGTAACAAAAAATGAACTGACAATTGATCCAATCAAACATCTACAACAGTAAAGTATGGAGCCTGCAGTGATGGGTCTACAGCTGATTTTAGCTGGTGGGGGGGTGGGGTGTTGTTTGATTTATTGGTAAAGAGATTAACTCTCAGAGAACACTAATCTCAACATTATTTTTCCATTATGCAAACTTACCACTGGTGACTTTCAGCACTCATGGCATCCAACTGAATAGCTTTTCCAGCACTAATCTTTCCTGTAAAAAGGAAAAAAGATACTCTAAAGGATTTATTGTACTTTTCTTCATCTTAGAACTAAGCAGTTAGATAATATACTGTAGATACAAAGCAAAGTTCAGTCTTTCCACATAAACATTAAGAAAGGTTTCATAACATTATGGATTCATAACACTTACATAGAATTGTTATACTTTCCCTATTAGAAGGTATTTCAATTCAGATGCAATCAAGACAGTTTCAACTAAGTTCTGCTTTTGACTGAAAAATACAAAAATTAAGGGAGTTAACCAAATTTACACTCCTGAGTAAGGAGTCTAGATGATAAAATTAATGTTTCCAGAGGTTCAGCTGTAACCAATTAAGCCACATGGTCCTTTCTGTATTACAAATTAACTTTATAAAAACAAAGGGAAACATAAATAGCCCTCCAACCAGCTGGAATGAAAAAACACAAGTTATTGCCAAATCCTCTTTAAAAGCAATTCTCTCTGCACCACTTCCAAAAGAAAAAAAATGAAAAATACTGCAAGAAACTTTATGGTTCAGAATTCCCCCAGCTGTTTCACGATTCATAAATAACTCAGAAGACAGTGATGCGACACTGCTGATTACCTGGGTATCTAGCAAGCACTTTGTACTCCTCCACTCCTTCAGAGATTTCCATGCCATAATAATTTTGCCCTGCTTAAATATTCTTCCACTTAGTACACACTCTCTGCCACTGAAACAGGATACTCTCATCTGACTCAGTCCAGCACTTCTTATGTTCTTATTATGATCTCTTATCAACTAATGTGAAAACTAATCATAAGCAGCAGCAAAGAAATGATGACCCGGGCACATTGTTACAAATGTATTATCTATTTCTAAAATTCCACAGTGTGCTGGTCACTTCTGATACAAAGAAGAGATTAGCCCAACACCAAGGAGGTCACAGTGGACCCGCAACTATGTCAACAAACGAGCAAGGAAACAGAGGGAACAATTATATGAAAAGGTCATATTAGTCATAGCCAAATTACTTTTGACACAAAATAATTCCTATAAGAAAGTTACTAACTGATGTTAAGACAGAGATGATTCTCCAGAAAGACTTGAAAGTACAGAGAGACCCTTGCAGACTCTCCCAGGAAGATCATGCCATAATAAAAGGAACATGAAATAAGGCATTTGTGTGAGAAACTGACAAACAGGTGTTCAAAGCTGACATCACTGGAAGAGCAGAGGGATTTGATGGAAATCCATGAACAAAACAAAGGTAGGTGAGTAGAGAGAGACAGAGTCCAAAAATAAGCAAATAGGGCCATAAAGGCAGTAAACAGAAGTTTAAATGTGATGCTGTAGAGCAGGGGTTCCCAAACACCAGGCCACGGCTTGCTACTGGGCTACGGTGGGTTGGCTGCCGGGTCATAGCACAATCACCCACTCAGACTCCCATCTGTTTGCCCGGGTGAGCAGCTTCCGGGGTCACAGCTAAGATTCTAGGGTTAAAGTTGGGTGGTAGGGGAACCCTGGGCAGGAGGTAGCTAGGTCCGCATGCCCTGTCCCACTCCTGCTGGGCTACATTAAAAAAAAAGGTTGGGAACCACTGCTGTAGAGAAGAAGAAAGTCATTTGAAGGAGTAAATGTTCTTCAGGAGACAGGCAAGGGGGGTTATTTTAATGGCAGTGTGTTGTAGAGATTGGAAGACAGTAATGTGAATAGCAGAGGCAAAAGAGGAGTATTTTGCTGTAGTCAGGATGAAAAGGGCTTAAGAGAGAACTTTCAGACTTGGCAAGGAAGATTCTAGAGACTGGACAAGTAGCAGCTGGAGGTGGACATAACTTGAATGTGCAGGACACGGGAGAGAGAGCAGACGAGAATGACCCCAAAGTGATGAAGGGGATGGCAGCATTTTCAAAATTGACAGAGGAAAGGAGATGTGGAGAGGAAATATCAGAAATTTAATTCTGACCATGCTCAGATAAAACTGACAACAGGACATCAAGAAGAAGACATTACAGAGACAGGTTGAGACACAACAGATGAAGCATGTTCAGCTTTGTCATTCCTTAAAATGCTTCTGAAGTACAGTGTTCACAGGCTCAAGACAGCACTGGGTTTGACCTTCTTCATCACACACAGAGGGGGTTACTGTGGTGTGAAGCTTCAGTCAGAGGGAGGAAACACTGGACCCTCCCTTTTGCCCTGAAGGGAAAAAAAATCTTGGCTTTGCTTTCATATTTATTTGTTATCACGCAATTTTTTAAAATTTCATGTCAGTATGATTCTTATTAAAGTAAGAGGTCTACAGCAGTGATTGGAGCCAATGTACTCAAATCATTACTGGCAAGAACCCTGCTAAACAAATTCTGGACCTCTCCTGAATCAAGGGTAACAAAGTAACTGATGCCAAACTACAAACCATTTGCATTAAGGTCAAAGCACCATCATTATAAAACCAGATTGTAAAACTGGTTGGACTAAAAGACTTCAGGGAAAACGCCACTAACAGTAAATGCCTTTCTACCATCATCAAAATTCATTTTCTTGAAGCAGGTTTTTCTACTCCACCTACCATTTGCAACATATTGCTTCTTTTCTTCAACATCAGTAGTCATCTCGAACATATCCCCGTAAGCTCGTGCCAGTCTCCAAAGAAACCTTGCATGGTTCCCATACTGTAAGGAGAGAAAGGAACCAGATATATTAGATTTTGGACCACTAATTTGACCAGGATGTAAACATAATTTCCATAAAAAATATAGGAAAACTTGGTGGAAAACACACATATAAAACTTCTATTTTATGAAGGGGCCTTTCAGAACTGTTCATTTTTACAAATAAAAAGTTAATATAATAAATTGCGTAATGCAACCACTTAATAGGTTATTTTCTTTTATACATAAAACAAGTGGCATTAACTCACAACCAGCAAATATCACACCCGCTGCCATGGACAGACAAAACAATTATGTTGCTGTAAAGAGTAAGGGGTACTTTCCACATACAGGTACATGTCAGATGATCTAGTGTAACTGTTTAGTCTGGCTACTTAAACTCTGGAGTAAGTGAAGTAAAACTTTGGTCATTTACCCCAAATTAAAAATCATAGCTGTTTAGCTTTCAGTTACCACAGAACAGATAGACAAACAAGTTACAGTAGATTTAGTGGAACCATGGTAAGGCCTCTGCCTGCTTTTAATACAGCATAGTTGTTTATGTGTCTATATTTCCAGCAAGAAAGATATTTCCTTCACTTAAATGAAGAATATCACCAGAACCATTAATATCTGTCAGATCAAAAGAAACTATTAACCACAGCATTGATTACTATACATAAAAGGCTCACCAGAAATTTGTTGTGCACAAGGGCTGAGGGGTCAAGCTTAACTAAAGAAGTTCTAGAGCACATAACAGAAAATGATTAACTTTCCTTGTTTTATTTTTCAAACCATCCTCGCAATGTTAACAGATCATCATATAGTTCCTACTGCACTTTATATGATGCTTTTAAAAACTACACAAAAATAACAACTTTTTATTTAGCTCTACAGAGAGGCTCAGTTTATAAAACTATCATGAGGAACAGACCTCAGTGGATTTGTCTTTGCAAATTTTCACTGTGCCATTTATATAAACCCTTGTTAAACGCCTTTAGAATTCTGATGGTTTGATCCTTATTTAAGTCTATATAGGAGTTTTCCATGCAGATAAATTTTAAATCAGAAAAAATTGTTTCAACTCTCTAAAGTCTGTGACAAGTCTCTTCATGAAGAGCTTTTACTATATAGAGCTTTTATTCAGTTTAACCTGGGTAAAACAGAAAACACTTAAGCCTTACCGCTACATTAATAAAAGTATTGAAGATCTTTCAAAGAATTTGAAGGACATCTTTTGAAGGACACATGAAAAAGTAATCTATATTTTAGATGCCCCTACTCATTACATTTCAAAGAGTTCAAAGGATGACATGTACAGTTCTGAACCCAAGATAGGACTATGAAACTAGTGTTGGGACACTTATCACTTAATACCTGTTCCTTTTTCTCAAGTAACAACCTGAAGCTCTTCTTTTTATCATCAACTGAACCACAATGCAAATGGTCCACATTCTGTAGAAGATTTGCTAATTTTGTTTCTTCTTCTGATCTCACAACAGTGGCTCCAGATGAAATAACACCTCCCTTTTCTTCTTCAGATTCTCCTTCAGTGTCAGTGTGAGCTGTAATATAACTAAAACACAGAATCAATCATTACCTATTCTAAAAATACCAACAAAATGTCACTGGACACTGTAACTAACAATTTTTGTCACTTTCCCAGCTGTAAAGATATTTGGCTATGTTCAGGGTAAGATTGTGTTCATATTCTAAACTGAACACTATCACTAACTCAGAACCACAGTTAAGTTTCATAAAGAATCTTGCTGGATTTTTTTTATGAGCCTGCAGAACACAATTCCTAATCAGAAACAGATATAGTCTGGCTGTAGGTTGCCAACCCCTGCACTAATCTGGCCCACAGAGTCATTGGATCCAGCCTGTAGAGCACAGGCTTCAGCAATGCTTGGTGGAAGAAGGCTTTGCATGTACTGTCGCACTGCAGCTGGACACTTCACGCATGCCATGCTATGGCTGGGCAGCAGAGAGAAGCAGCAGTGGCTGGGTCCTAACTCCAACCTGCCTACGGCATGAGCTGGGTCATTCTGACCTACTGCTGGAAAATGCTGCCAACCCCTGAACTCCTAACTAAGCACTATCCACTAGACCAGGAATTTTGAGAATTCTAAATCTGTTTTTAATAATAGCTGTTTAGCCTAAAACAAATCATCTGGTTCCCTGGCTGTGAAAAGGAGGTGAAAATACTAACCAACCATATAGGAATGTTGCACAAATACAAAATGTTTTAAAGATAACAAATGCTATTTGCCTGCTAAGTAATATGATTAGTGCAATTAATATATTTGTGCATTCAAAAAATTGGATTATATGACCCTATAAAAGAGGTCAAATTAATTATACCAGTTAATTGATTCTACTGAATGAGCCCTGAACAAAACATAATTAATGAAGAATGCAACAGATAAGCAAGCACTTTAATTTACTGAAGTACTGAGGACCCAGTAGATACTAGGGACTGATGCCAATGGATGTTCAGAACCCTTGACAGTGTAGCTATTTACTTAGGTGGGTAAATACAAACAAGAAAATCTAACATTTAGTACCCTTTTTGAAAAAAAACAACTTGCGCTTAAGAAACAATCTTTAGATATAATATTTTAAAATGTATTTGCTACCAAACAGAAAACTCTCCAAAACATTACCACAAGCAGAAAAAGCACAAAAGTACATTTTAAACATTTATTGTACAAGAGGCTATGTAAATATTAGTAGAAACCACAACAGGCAGTGTAGACAGCACTTTGAGTATAACACATATTTCTTCAGTGAACACTGGGTGCATCTACATGTGCTATTAATGCACAGTAAACTTACTGCACATTAAAAAAGAAGCACTAAATTGCCACAGCGGAAAGGGTCCACACGTGTGCCAGCTTGGGAGCAAATGTTCTTTCAACTGAAGCAGATGACATCAGGGATGGTCCTGCTTCCCTGCCCTGCTCTGATGTTAGGGCAGACCCCAATCCCCATGTGGGTAGAGAGAGCTGTTCTGGCAGCTGAGACTGCTGCATCCCAGCTACCTGAAGATCAGACCCAATCCCCACGTGGCCAGGAGAGGTGTCCCAAGGGGGACACTGTCTGGCAGCCAAGTGGGGATCGGTCTGAGTAAGTATGCCTCTCCCAGCCATGTGGGGATCAGGACCCTTCCAATTCCCATGCGACTGCCAGGCAGCATCCCCTCCCAGTCACACTGGGATTGGGTCCCGACCCGATCCCTGCTCAGCTGGGATGCAGCAGTCCTGGCTTCCAGGACAGCTCTCCCAGCCATGTGGGTATTAGGACAGTCCTGATCCCCATGTGGCAGGGAGACAGCTCCTGCCACATAAGGCTTAGACAGGCAGCAGTGGGCTCCCTGCTGCCTGAGCTGCCTGGGAGCAAATTGCTCCTGGCCAGCATCTACATGTGCACTACTGTGCAGTAGCTAATGCACAGTTAATTTACTACCTGTATTTTCAGGTAGTAGATAACTTCATATTAGCCTATTTTACTGTGCAGTAGCCTAGTGAACTGTTTAATAGTGACACTTTACCATGCAGTAGATTAGTCTACTGCACAATAAAGCATCTTGTGTAAACATATCCACTGTGTACTTCTATGCACCTACTAAAACCTTGTTAAACCAGCAGCAGAAAAAGTTAGGAGCTACAAAATGTCAAAGCAGAAATAATTGAACAGTAAATGTAATTGGAACTACAAGTCCCTGCATAATATTGTGAACAATAAAACTAGATTTAAGAGTTACTCAGCATGACATCATATACTTCCTACAGTTTAAATAAGTTTTATGTACAAAAAAGAATTGATTTTTCAAGGTCCTGGTCATCCAATTAAGGGCAAGAAGTGGAAATATGTCTTCACTTCTTTAAAAAATGTTATTGCTTCTAAGAACTTTGTCTTTCCTGAGACATGGCCAATTGTAACAAGAAAAAATGTGCTGAGCCGCATGCAAGCCACTCAAAGCTAGTACCACCAGAGAACTCCAAAAGGGTGATGTATAAGCCTGCCACTACTAACTATGAAATGCGGATGGGTCATATGATAAATGCATTCAGAGCTTCATTTGGAAATAACTGTTTCACAGCTGAGCAATATTTTCTTGTGGTTATTCTAAGATTGAATAAACTTCATTAAGAACATAAAAATATCACAGAAGAATAACCTCCTAAAGTCAGAGCATACTGCATGAATCCACATAACATCTTTCACATGCCACTCCCTGGTGTGTGTTAGAGGAAAGGGAAGAGGGCAAGACACAGAAGGCTGAAAAAGAATCAGGAATATGCACATCATTTCCTTTGGACTCAAAAAGTTGTCAAGAAAAGAATCAATCTCTTATGCTATATTAATATTGACATGCACAATATCTCCATCTCCATTCCTTGCATTTGTGCACCCTTATACAAGTTATATATAGAGTAGAGGTGCACTGATGTATCAGTCCATATCGGATCTGCACCAATAAAAGGAAAATTGGCATTACCGGCAATTGTTTTTTTTGGCTTGTGTAGCCAATAACATCACTGATAAATGCCATGGGCATGCACGCAGCCTGGTAACTTGGAGAGCAGTGTCCAGCCAGTAAGTTTGGGGGGGGGGGGAAGGGGGATAAGGGAAAGTGAGGGTGGGGGGCAGATCGAGGCCCACCCAGTATGGGAGTGGAGTTGAGGCTGGAGCTGAGGCTGCCCAGCTGGGGCAGAGTGGGGCATGAAGGTTATAAATGGTTCTTGTCTGCTATAGGCAAGAAAAGAAGTCGGAAAATCTTGTACCTTGTAAATCTTGTAAAGTGAGTTAATGACTGGAATAGATTATGAAGGGAAGCTGTGGAATCTTTATCATAGTGGATTTTAAAGAACATATTGGACAAAACCAGTCAGGAAAGATTTAGGTATAACTGGATCCTGTTTTGGGAAAAGGGGATGGACTAGCCAACTTCTAGAGGACACTTCCAGACCTAATTTGTATGTTCCCTACGATTTGGGATGATGTATTGTATGACTATTCTGTTTTTTTCAAAAAGGGGTCATGAAGCAATGAGGTGATTGACCAAGGAGCTTGGAACCTATACAACTGTCAAAGGGGAAGGCTGATCTACAATCCAAAGTATAGAACTTTTAAAATCTTCTCCTGGCTTGAGGCTTACATCATTTTCTGATAAAGGCACAGAAATTAGTTGTCCCAAAACCATATAGCTCAAAGAGAACACAATCTATGGTTCTGATCCCATGAAGAGTTATGTGCGTTTAACTTTATCCATGTTAGTAGCTCTCACTGAAATGAATGTCCACAGGGTTACTTGAGTACACAGTTAGGCATCAGTTTAATCATTTACAGGGCTTGAGTCAAAAGTACGAGCCTAAAGGCCCATAAGGCAACCTTGGTTAAGAAACTTTGGTGTCTATGCGAACAGGATACAAGGGAGCAATACAGCTAGCCTCATGTCCAGCCACCACTGACTCCCAAGCCTAAAAGATTATGTACTCATTTACAGCTAGATCAACAGGAGGCAGCTTTTGGCAAGAATCTGGAAGGAGGCTTCAAATGTTTTCTGGAACACAGAAGACCACCTCTGCTGCTCTGCCTCATGGCCCCAAATTGCAGGACTGGGGACCAAGATCTATTATTTTTTTTGTTTTAAATTACTTAGGAATTTACTCATTAGCTAATCTCCTCCCTATCTCTCTTATATATTAAATATTTTCAGTATGAAAGCATTACCCACAAAGAAGAGAATGCAGATTTTCAAAATGAACTAATAAATAAAGATATTTTCTCATGAAACTTAGATTAGCTGTAATTCATCAGTCTGAATCACAGCCAGTTCTACCTCAAGGAGGGAAACTGTTCCAATTGTTAAATGACAAAGTAAGAACATAGAAGAAATGACATGCATGAAATATAATAAAAGGAGCCAGACTGCCGATTTCAACAATGGAAGTTAGCAGGCTTTTACGGGATACTTGCTCTAAAAGTTACGTGCATGTTACAAGGTTTCATGCTATGACTTGACTGCATACAGTAGATACACATGTTGTAATAGATCCAAAAGAGACTAAATATAAAGAAAAGTCTCCTTAAAAAAAAGATGAAGATTCATTATGGTTTTCTGAAAGTGTCATATAACTAATATGACAGCTCCTAGGCAATTTACCTGAGTTTAGCCTGCAAAAGGTTGTATCAGACAATAAAAGGAAAACCACGAAATATCTGAGTATAAGACCTGCCATAAATGTAGTAACCAATCTTTAATAAAATATATATGCATAATGCAACCTGATATTCATATTTTCTTATGTACCTCTTGAAATGAAAAAATGTATTTTAATTGTGCCTGTTTTTGACAGCAATTATCACTCAAGTGTACGTCTTGCAAGGGTTTTTATAAACTAGGATTTCTAGGAGTATAATGTAACTTTTGCTTACTTGTACAAGCGGTTAAAAACTGGTTGTGAACTGCAGGGTGGAATAAGGGTAATAATAGAACGTCCTGGTAGTCAGGGATCAAAGACAATGAATACATTGATTATTTGGAAGAGTCAGCACACAGTGAGCCAATGGCATTTTCTGATGAGAACAAAGTTGGCTGGTTGGGAATACTTTTGTGGGGGTTATTAAAAACAAAAAAAAGATTCTGAGAAACAACAGAAAGACTTAAATGCAGTCGGCATTTAGGCAATACACTAGCAGATGTAACACTCCTAAATATAGTGAAACATCAATACATTCATTAGTTTACTTTTGTAGGCAGGGTCTTGTCTCTTATGCTGCCTAATAAGAATCAGTCTAAGGATGAACTGTGATACTGAAGGATTCTCTGAGGGGAAAAAACAAACAAGAAAGATCATGGATAGCTCAAGGAAAAAGTCTACACAAATGAAAAATCTCATTTAAAATGCAAGTACGATTCTACACTGCTTGAAGGGAAAGTTCCAATGATTCTTTTTAAAATACCAGTAACAAAAATTATTGGAATTAGTTTTTAAAACAAAATAAAATACATAATGCAGCATCATATTTAATAATGAAAACAGGAAATCTTAATTTTTCCACAAGGGATACCACTTTCTCTACGAGCAGCAAGTACTTGGGAAGAATTACTTTCCCATAAATTTAAGGGAGGAAAAACATCTGAAAAATAAGAATGCCGGTTGGCTTCACAAAGGACTGTTCAAAGATCTAAAGATGTACCAGAACCTGAACTGGAGTTGAAAAAGAGTAGGCTTTCAAACCAGAATATTCAGATGAGTTTTACTCTGAAAAGTTAAAGGCAGAAAAAAAATCCCCTCAAAAAACAAGCCCTCCAAGCTTTCCCCCTCCCCCTGGACCTCTTGAGCATATATTGACAACATTTTATAGAAGCAGGACATACGCTTAAATAGAGTTTAGGTTACGGTTATATGGGATGGTTTGGATAGGGGTGATCCTTATTTAGGCAGGGGGTTGGATTGAGGATAATGATGATAACATAAAGACTCTCTCTACACCCTGTCTTATCAGTTGGACACAATTAAAGTACAATGGCAATAAAACTTTAATCATTCTCATGTATAGAGCAGCCTGTTATTTTTTACTTCACTATATAAACTAAGAATAGAAAGACCACTTACAATCTATCAGAAGCAACAGTTAAATACATATAGATGGGGGAGCACAAGGAAATATTGCAACAGTTTTGGTTTTTGTTGTCCTCTTGGAGCTTGCAAACTATTAAGCCGCAGGATGGAAACAGGCGAAGAGTCCCGGCTGGCTCATGGTATTTTGATCAAACAAGAAACCTCTAAGAAACTGAAAATGTATAGTAAGAATTTTGTTTTAGGATACCTATTGACTGGTTTTGCTTAAACCTTGGTCTTGGTGAACTTTCTTTCCAGGGTAAGCATAGACATGCTTTTAAAAATACAACCAAAAGAAACACAAATAGTTTCAGAAATTCAGAAAACTCCCAAACAGATCATAAAACTGGTCTTTCTTTAGATCATGGACAATATTCCTGGGTAACATTTTTGCAAGCTGTTTGCCTACGACAGCCAGACTCTCACCTCCTTCTCTGTGAGTATCTTTCAACACCCAACCTCAGAAATATTTGATTTCTTCTGATTTTCCTGTACAGAGTTGACAGTGGGATTCCTCTGCCTCCTCTCCAATAACACTGCATCAGTGTATCCAAGACAGATTTTGCAATCATTCCTTTGGACAAGTAGCTCCATAACACAACCTGCCTCCTCTGCTCATCCTTCTTAAGTGGCTTGTGATTTCAAAGACCAAGATCTTTGAACAGTTGGTTGGGTGTCAAAGATATTCTGACAGGAGTAAAAAAATTCTATACATAAAAACTAAATAAAATGACAATAACTACAACACCAATAATAAGAAAAACCTAAAGAACAAGACAATCAGGATGCTATTGCTCAGGACACAAACGAGTTATTTTGTGGACAGCCTGAGTTAATCCAAAAACAGTGACAGAATGTGAGAGTAGCCATGTCTGATCTGAGTATTTGTGTTTAATTTATTTATATCAAATGAGATTGGTAATCATAATACTGAGTTATTTGCATAAACAAGTTGCACCGTACATATTACTACTCTATCCTGCTTTTGATATGATCTCTCCTCCGTTGTAGTTACAATTGTAACAATCTTGCTGACCTTACCACCATCATTATTCATAATTTTCATAATCACCTCCCAACTGGTGTGCTAGACCAGTGGTCTCCAAACTTTTTTGATCGTGCACCCCATCAGTAAAAAATTTTTGAGCATGCACCCCCAATATATGTATATTTATATAAATATACATAAAAATAGAAGTTCTAATATTTTCTTCCTGCACCCCAATGGATTGTCTTGTGCGCACCCCACTTTGGAGACCACTGTGCTAGACTATAGAGAAACAAATGAAGAAACAGTCTGTCCTAACCTCCATCTGAGCAAGGTATGTACTTCAGTATATGCCCCAACTTAAATACATAGGTGTTTATGTCATATTAATTTCAATGGCATTATCTGATGCAATTAAAATTAGGAACTTGTTTAACTTCATTGCCAAATTACCCTACATATGGCTTAAAATACAGCTGGGTAATATATCAGTATTTAACCATAACAACAAGGGTGTCTTACACCAACAAGTTTTCATAATGGATCATATAGTGTAATTTTCAATATTCAAGTTACAAACTCAGCATTAGTAACATTCAGATAAACACAAAAGTATGTAATATCTGTTAACAAAATGACTCACTCAGATTTAATGCCACTAAGTCACTGATCAAAGAAAAATGCCTAAATAAAGCATTCCTAGAGATTCTCTGACAATATTTTCTTTTGCATTTCAAACAAGATTTAAAGAGCTTCCATGCTAAAAGCATTTTTAAACCATACACAGAATTCCAGAACTTTTGCCATCATACCACTGATAGCCTATATAGCTGAATATCACTTTGTATTGACTTTTACTAAATGAATACCTTTAAAAACTAAAGTATGAAGTTTAGCATATTACTCCATGAGACTACTTGCCTGAAAAGATTTATAGATCTCTTCAAGGTATATCTTTCCCACTCACGAGGCAGAAAGAGAAAGGTTTTCAAAGCTTTTTTCTAAGTTTTGCCATCCCAGTGACAATGGTATTTTCAAGGGTTATTTTGAGATCATAAACTAAAGGTCAGATTCTGTATCTCCAAGAAGGCAGAAACACTGAGGAAACAACATCACCACCTCTCCGGTGAGGGAGAGCGAAGCACACAATTAACAGCATTTGTAAAGTCCTCTAAATGCAAAACGTATAAAGTGCACTACAAAAAGCCCATAAAGAATGATCCAGGAATAAGTGACAAATTTCTGACAGAGTTTATATTACCCATCCCAGCTGAAATTGTGGTGTTTTAGGATTCTTCCAAAACAAGATTAGGAGTAGAGTTCAGTGGGGACTAGAATCTCTGTTTTACAGGAAAGTCCTCAATTTCAGCATTTTTTTTATCCTGCATGAGAATTAATTTTTTTTTAATTTTAAAAAGAAATGTTTCAAAAGAATTTTGAGTCAATCATAAGTTTTTGTTTTGACAAAATCAAAACACATTTTGAAACAAAACAATCCAATGTTCCATCCCTATAAATGGCTTTCTTTTTCCTAAATGAAATGTTGTTGAAGTCAACATACATGCCTATGGAAAATTTCAGTTTTGACAAAATGGAACTTATCAACAGAAAAATGTCTTGGTGAATTTTTGACCAGGCAGAAGTAAAAATGGCATGAGTTCTTGAATGCAGTTGTGCAAAGATACAATCAAAGGACAGATCCTGAATGCAAGAGGGGGTTGGTTTTGTACACGCTCTGCTTACAGGCACACCTCTTTTCTCCTGGTCAGAGGTACGTACAGTACTACTACAGATTGCCAACTCTCATGATTTTTGGTGTTGTTCTTAAAGTCTATGCTTCAGTAATGTGAAAAATGTAGCTCTTTCTTTTATATATAGGTGCAGACTTTAAGAACAATGCCAAAAATCACGAGTTGGCAACACTGCCTCAGGCAAATCACTAAGCGAGCTTTGCAAATCACATAGTAATCATTTGGAAAGCTTTTCCTGAATCCTGAGAAACAGAATGTATAATAAGTACACATAAATACATTAGACTATATAGACTATAACAACCTTACATGTGTGGTGACACTTTTTTTGTCCACATAGGTATTTTAAGTTGTATTACATATTCATTATATTTTAAAGACTCACCCTCCTTCACTTTCTGCCTCAGAGCTCGTATTGTCTGGTATACCAGGAGCTGTCTCTGCTTTTCTCTTTTTTGTTGCTCTGTGTGAAGGGCTAATTCTGTGAGCATTGGCCTTCCCTTGGAGTTCATCTCGAACAAGTTTTTCCAATTTTGGAATAGCTTCTTTAAGAAACTTTATCTCTCTCTTCAATTCTTCCACACTAATTACTAGGTCATTCAATTTCTCCAGCACCTGTAGCTGTCTTCCATGTAAGGTCATTACGGTTCCCGATTCACTGTGAGTTTCATTCTGTAAGCCCACAAAATGAAACCCGTTGTAGAAATCCAGAAACGCAGGCAAATGTATAGATGCCCAAGGTTTTCGGACCTTGTGATACCAAATCAGGAAGAAACTTATTGCAGCAGCAGCCCCTGCCATGATGCCCAGGACCAGTCCTTTGTTTTCAGAGTGGAACATTTCTCTGGTTTTCTGAAACTGCAGATACACACACCAAAAAAAAAAAGTACAATTAAAACTCTGTCCCCCCATCTCTAGCCCAACTGTTTTCTGAAAACATAAAAATCTAAAGTTGTAACAACCAGCACATCACACATACTGAGGTACCATCTAAATCTAGCTGACTCATGAATACTGGAAGACAGGCAATAAGAGTAGAATGTTGCCTTATCTTCTATGGTTTCAGTGTTGCATATGTGTCCTTTTGCATTTATGCGCTTGTGTTTGGCAATGGGAAGCCCTTGCTTGTAACCTTAATGCTGCATTTTGTGCCTGTTTTTTACCCATGTTGTTTGTTTTCCCACAATTATCTGAGCTTTAAGCTGTCACACCTTCAAATAATGACTACGTCATACCCATGTACCATTTATTATCACCAAGGCAGACTCCAGTCCTACAGAAATTTACGGAGGGGTGTTAACATGGCCCTGATTATGCTTGTTTTAGTTTGCGCATCAGTTTTTGCCAAATCAGGTCATGGTGGGCCAGACCCTACTGGCAAACGGTACAAACAGAACTGCACACCCACCCACTTCGGTCAGTAGGTAGCTGCTTTTGTCTGCCCCTATACCAGACACCTAGCCATAGCACTGCAGAGCAGTGCTTTTTTCTGTGCAACCTCAGCACCACCGGGTGTGCCTCCACACACGCTTTAATGCACAGTTGCCTATTTTAATGCACATTCAAATGTCACAAAAACCCCACGCGCTTTCCCTAGCCTGTTTTAATGCACATTAACGTGCCTTTTTCTAATACCTCACTCCCTGCAGGTCCTAAACTGAATGCATATTACCAAAATGGAACGGGCATTACCATCCAGGAAGAGCACAGACCAACTGCAGACCTGTCCTCTACCTGACCGAGGGCATTTAAACCCAAAAGCTTGCAGAAAAGAAGTTTCCCAACTATTTGAGCTGATCTAATCCAAGAGATACCCAAGGAGTCAACCACCACCCGTTCCCAAAACCGCATTCACGAACGTGTGGTGACTAGCCTCACGGAAAACTGAACTCGCCCCTCCCCCCTTGGCCTGGATTTTAAAGCTGCTGCTTCTGTCTCCATTTAAAAGCCTCGTCTTCCCACTGCCCTCTGCTTTGAGGTGCAGCCGCAGGGCTGTGCGGGCCGCTGTGACAGGAGTTGCCTGGGCAATCAACGGAGGCAGCACAGGATAACTCCCTTCCCTCCCTCCACACACGGCCCCCAGCTCCAGCTGCCCGGGGAAGCACCTCAGCGCCGCCACAGCCGCCGCCGGGCCCCCGCGAGGGCAGGGGGCGCCGGGCCCCGCCCGCTACGTACCGGG